GGGAAAGGCTTTTTTTTTAGAAGACCCCCAATCCTGGACGGGGAAGGCCTACCCCTTCTTCCTGCCTCCCCTAATACCATGGTGGTCCACCACCAGGAGGTCCTAATTCCAGGAGGTAGAGAAAGTGGTGGAGGTGGCGGTCCCCCCAAGAACTCCTACCCACAGTAGATGGATGAGGAAGATGGGCTCCTCTACGCATTGGAGGAGGTGGTGGCGGTGGGGCTCCTCCACGCATCAGGGGAGGTTTGCTCTTTACCCTGGAGGTGGAGGTGGGGCTCCTCCACGCATTGGAGGAGGTGGTGGCGGTGGGGCTCCTCCACGCATCAGGGGAGGTTTTGCTCCATACACTGGAGGTGGAGGTGGGGCTCCTCCACGCATTGGAGGAGGTGGTGGCGGTGGGGCTCCCTCCACGCATCAGGGGAGGTTTAGCTCCATACACTAGAGGTGGAGGTGGGGCTCCTCCACGCATCAGGGGAGGTTTTGCTCCATACACTGGAGGTGGAGGTGGGGCTCCTCCACGCATTGGAGGAGGTGGTGGCGGTGGGGCTCCTCCACGCATCAGGGGAGGTTTTGCTCCATACACTAGAGGTGGAGGTGGGGCTCCTCCACGCATTGGAGGAGGTGGTGGCGGTGGGGCTCCTCCACGCATTGGAGGAGGTGGTGGCGGTGGGGCTCCTCCACGCATCAGGGGAGGTTTTGCTCCATACACTGGAGGTGGAGGTGGAGGTGGAGGTGGGGCTCCTCCACGCATTGGAGGAGGTGGTGGCGGTGGGGCTCCTCCACTCATCAGGGGAGGTTTTGCTCCATACACTGGAGGTGGAGGTGGAGGTGGAGGTGGGGCTCCTCCACGCATTGGAGGAGGTGGTGGCGGTGGGGCTCCTCCACGTATCAGGGGAGGTTTTGCTCCATACACTGGAGGTGGAGGTGGAGGTGGAGGTGGAGCACCCATTGGTGGTGGAGGTGGAGGTCCACTAGATCTAAATGGAGGTGGAGGTGGTGGAGGTGGTGGAGGTGGTGGTGGTGCTGGTGGAGGAGGAGGCAACATGGTTCTAAGGGTTGGTTTCTCAGAGGCAATTGGAGGAGGTGAAGCAGCTGCTTGTGAAGGGTGTAAACTGATGTGCCCTCAGAATCATCTGAAGAGTATCAACAACCACAAAACTATCTGAGTCTCGCTTATGGCAGGCCCATCAATCACATCGCTAAAAATCTTCTGCACCTCAAAAAACTCTTCAGGTGAAATAATATCGAAATTGTTTTCATCTTCTGATCTTGTTGCTGTTGCGATAGTAGGCAACACGGAATCAGCGCCAGAGACAAGTACCTGATACATATATGAGTATGCATTCAAACTTAAGAGCCTCATTCAACGGATGATCAGAGAAAATTTCACAATGATGCCTACCTCTGCCTTAAACTGGTCCAGCGACATCGGAACCGAGAACCAAACAGACGATCTTGTAGACCAACCAATTAAGAAGCAGACTGTTCTTGATTGCTCTGGTTTCTGTTTACTAAAAGCCCAAGAGATCACCTTCTTCACCCAATTTAGATCAAAAGAACCCTAATTCAAAGCAAAATATGATGACAGATTTCCCAAAACATACAAAAGTGAGAGAGAGAGAACCGAATCGCAGAAACTTCTGAAAGCTGAATTGACTTGTGATTAGGACTCTGTTCAGAATTACTAGGTCGAAGTTGAAAAGACTATAAGACCTTTTCAGTTGATCATAGTTAACAAGCAACTTCGTTGACCAAATCTTTATAAAATAAAATAAAACCTCAAAATGTTGACCAGGCGTTTAAAAGGCTGGCGTGACCTCCATAATCAAAAGTGCGGGGATGATGCTCGGTGTTGAGATTGGCTCGTAGAAGAGTGTTGAAGAAGACAAAGCAAATGGTATATATAATAAATTAATGACGACTCTCCTCGTGTCCACCTAAGCAAACACAACTTTTAAAAAATCTATTTAAGATAGTCATTTAATTATTAGCTATCTATATTTAAGTTACCTTAGTAAAATAAAATGTATAAAAATGGTGATTACAAGATTATGGTCTATGGAGTATCTTATTAGTATATAGTATATCTTTACTTCTTAATCAATTTTTTTTTTTAAGATTGCCCCTATCTAAAATTTTAGAATGTGTTTATGAGTTTATCAAGGTAAGAAAAAATTGATCTGGTGAAAACCAAATTGTATTTATAATATTTTTTTCAGAGAACAATACTATTGTACTTAAAAAATTAGGTTTGAAAAATAATATTACTTAAAGATAAAAGTTTGTTTTTAAGAAGTTTTATCATAAATAAAAACTCTCAGATTAATGTTTCTAGCCAAAAGAGATCCAAAAAAATATATTTCTTTATAAAAATTTAAGAGAAGATAAGATTATGTAGAAATTTAAATATCTCTATTTTTCATAAATATAAAATAAACAACTAGTATAAAATTAAATTTATTTTTCTGTAAGTCACGAAAATAAATGGGCCGTGAACTGAATTAAACCCAAATATTTTGTATGCGGCTGGGCTGATTAAATTAAACTATATATGTAGTTTAGTTGACATAAATAATTGATTCTTTATATCAAGTTAATAACAAACAAATAAAATTAATGTATGTTATGTGTATTAGTTAGTTGCTTGGGTCATGACTTCTACATTCTATTGGTTTAGGAAAAAAAAATAAAAAAAAATCTTTCTAGCAACTAGACGACTGTTAAAACATCAAATTCATATCAGGTATTTTAATTTGATTTTTTTAAAGAAAATTGACATATTTATTGTGGTTCAGTCAGAGTAATACGATAATCCAACTTTTCGTAAAAAATATTGAACCAATAATACTATGGGTGTGGAACCTCTATTTGCAAAGAGGACAAGTTTAAAATGTATGTATATACAATTATACATATTATTGTCCTTTTTATGACTTTTCAAAGAGATCGCTTTTAAATGGATAAGAAAAGACAATCCCCTATTAAAAAAGTTTTTATATCATCAAAAATGAAAACCATACAGAAATATTAGTCCCATATAACGGATTCAGTATATAACAATGATAAATTGATAATAGAGATTTCTAAAAATAAATTCTTGTAGTGACTTATTTAAAATTAATAACGTGTTCCGACAGATGGGAAACCGCAAATTGAACTTGTTTATTTTAATTACGATCGAGAAAACGTGGTTGTAATTATAAATATTTTTTAAATTACATTTCCACGCAGGACGAGACAAACACCTAGAGAGAGAGAGAGAGAGAGGAAGAGAATGGTCGTGTCGTATGTTTGGACACCGAACCGAGTCTCGGTCTTTCTCTAAAGTCCACTACGTTAATTCGTTCGGTAAGTTCGATAACGCAAAATATTATTTTGTATATATGGAAAAATCAAAAAAGCTTTTTGCTATAATTATAAAATACCTCGAATTAAAATTAAAAAAAAAAATTATTGAGGAAAATTGCTGGAAGATTTCTCGACTTCATTCATTCTTTTTCTTTCTTCCTTTCTGCTCCATCTCCTCCTTTTTTTTGTCCACCTGAAATCCTTCATCTCACTGTCACTTCCTTCTCTCTCTCTCTTTTTTATTTTTATCAACTATTTGATTAGCTTCGAAGATTCTCCGTTTCCACGTTTGACAGGAGGAGATTCGGCAATGTACATAGATCGATTAATTTAGAGAACAAGTATTCTGGAATTTCGAACTTGAGGGGGGTTTCGCGTCGCGTCGCGTCGTTGGCCTTTCGATTACGACTTGCGTTGTTTCAAAATTGGATTATTGGTGGAAGAGAGAATAAGAAATTTCAGCGATTTGGGTCTCTATCTCGCTCTTGTAATTTTGTGGACATTTTGTCAACATTTCTGCTGGGTGAAAAAACAAAAATTAGGGTTTGCGACCTGGAATTTGGGAAGAAGGGGATCTGGGGTTTAGGTCAACGGAATTGGAGCAGTCGAGGATGATCTGCTTGTTGCTTTACTAAAATCGACGGTTTGGATCTGATCGGAGGAGAGACAGCGCCATCGGATGGCGCTGTTCCGTCGCTTCTTCTACAAAAAGCCTCCGGATCGGCTTCTCGAGATCTCGGAGCGTGTTTATGGTAATACCTTTTGCTCCCCTTTTTCTCTATTTCTAGGATAAAAGCATTTTGGATCAAAATTTGCTACAAAATTTGCTTGTCGATGGTGGAGGTTTTTTCTTTGGAAGTTTGATTGCGTTGAGAATTTGCAATGGATGCCATTTAAGCTGAACTTGTCTCTGTTAGGCTTTGTAAAAGCTTTGCATTTTAGGAATCTGAATATCTTTGACGACACTTTAGCTTTGTGGGATATTCCGTCAATCCCAAAACCATAGTTTCCTTTAATGTTCCGCGACGATGATTCTCTGAAATGGGGTTTTATTTGAGGATCTACATTGGACTTCCGGATAGTGACAATAATTTCAGAGCTTGAAGATTCGTGTTTCCATTTTCTATCAACTGATATTTTGCTGGAGCAGTTCCAGGTTTCAGAGTTTGCTCGTTGATTATAATTCTTGTTTTCTTCTTCTTCTTTGCAGTTTTTGACTGCTGTTTCTCGAGCGATGTTATGGGAGAGGATGAGTACAAAGTATACTTGGGTGGCATTGTGGCGCAGCTGCAAGATCATTTCCCAGATGCATCTTTCATGGTGTTTAACTTCAGAGAAGGAGAACAGCGGAGTCAAATATCAGATGTGTTATCTCAATACGACATGACGGTTATGGATTATCCTCGGCAGTATGAGACTTGTCCGCTTTTACCTCTCGAGATGATCCATCACTTCCTGAAATCGAGTGAAAGCTGGTTGTCATTGGAAGGTCAACAAAATGTTCTATTGATGCATTGCGAAAGAGGTGGTTGGCCTGTTCTCGCTTTTATGTTGTCAGGGCTTTTGTTGTACAGAAGGCAGTATCAGGGAGAGCAGAAGACTCTTGAGATGGTACACAAACAGGCTCCCAAGGAGCTTCTTCATCTACTGTCTCCTCTAAACCCGCAGCCTTCTCAACTCAGATATCTTCAGTACATTTCTAGAAGAAATTTAGGCTCTGATTGGCCTCCTTCAGACACACCTCTTCTTTTGGATTGCTTGATTCTCAGAGATCTCCCACATTTTGAAGGGAGAAAAGGTTGCAGACCAATTTTACGGGTCTATGGTCAGGACCCTAAAGCCCGAGCCAACAGGAGTTCCATAGTTCTCTTTTCCACGCCAAAGACAAAGAAACACACTCGCCTCTACCAACAGGTACTTTTCAAACCAATTTATCTCAGTGACATATGGATTTATATGATCAACACACTGATTTATGCACAGGACATTGTTTAGCTAATATATTATATCCTTCCCATGTGAACTTGAGACGGTGGTGTAGTTTTTCACATCTTATGTATAAGAGTTAAAAACATGAATACAGGAATGGTTAAAATAAAGGAGTTCTTTTGGTAAAGTATTATACCGGTAAAAATGCTTCTATACTGAACAAAAAACATGTTCATTTTCGTGATCTAATCTGCAGGAAGAGTGTATCCTGGTGAAATTAGATGTCCAGTGTCGTGTTCAAGGGGATGTTGTTCTGGAATGTATACACTTGCATGATGATTTGGTGCGTGAGGAGATGGTATTTAGAATCATGTTCCACACGGCATTTGTACGTGCTAATATTTTAATGGTCCAACGCGATGAGATGGATATACTTTGGGATGCCAAGGACCAGTTCCCAAAGGAATTCAAGGCTGAGGTAGGCCATTGTGAAATTATCTCTGATCATCTGTTAAATGAGGCTGTAAAGTTTGAATGCATACTCATATATGTATCAGGTACTTTTTGCTGGTGCTGATGCCGTGGTGCCTACTATCGCAACAGCTCCAATATCAGAAGATGACAACGATTTTGATATTACTTCACCTGAAGAATTTTTTGAGGTAGAGGAGATTTTTAGCGATGTGATTGATGGGCCTGACCATAAGCGAGACTCAGATAGTTTTGTGGTTGTTGATACTGCTTCAGATGATTCTGATGGTAAAGAGGTGTGGAAGGGGGACGTGGAACCCAATGCGTTTCTAGATTGTGCTTCTGATGATTCAAATCATAAACATGATCTGCATGGGGAGGCTAGTACAGATCCAGTCAAAGATATCACTGTTGATGATGTACAGTATAGGTCAGATGGGAAGGCAGACTCCAATATCGACTCAGTGAAGGATATAGGAATAGATGATGGTGATGAGCAGCGAAAAAAAAGGACTATGGACGCGAAAGAAAATGATTTCAAAACAGCAGAGCCTCAACACAAAGGTGATGGAGAAGACAAGGATTCCCAGAATGATTTAGAGCCTACAACTCAGAAAACAAATACCAATCTCAACAACCCCATATCCGAAAAAACACAAGCTACACCAAGGAAACAAGTCGGTGCGAATGTAAAACTGGCTGGAGATTTACCTAAAACGAAGTCTAAGCAGCAAGAAACTCAGGGTCCTAATGTAAGAATGGCTAAGCCTAATGCAGTTTCTCGATGGATTCCTTCAAATAAGGGCTCATATAAAGATTCTATGCATGTGGCATATCCCCCGACAAGGATTAACAGTGCTCCTGCTTCAATTACCACTTCTGGCAAGGATGGTAAAAGAGCTACATCACCTGATGGTGTGATTCCAAAGGATGCTAAGACTAAGTACCTGAGGGCATCTGTTTCTTCACCGGATATGAGGAGTCGAGCTCCAATATGTTTATCACCAGATTCTAGCCCGAAGGAAAAGCCGCCTTCTCTACCTCCTGCTTCTTCACATCAGGCGCCTCAACCACCTCAGCATCCACCTCCATCTCCAGCTC